ATAAGTGCCTCTGCTGTTCAGTCAACATGCACTGATAAGATAAACGCTATTCCCCATACTAAGGGAGGATGCCAACTCTTACACACCAATGGGAGAGATGAGGGAAATTCTTCTGGTCGTTATTTGGATCTTATCGATCGCATACGGATGAGAGAAGATGCTAGTTAGGTAGGAAAAATAAGTGTATCTGAGCGAGCGCCTGAGTCGGATGGGCATGAATGTGGCTACGATCGGTGAAAAACAGCGGTCTTGACAGTGTAAGCTTGAAGTAGTGTACATTCTTTCGTGCATAATACCGATATAACATGTGTGAAAACAATCAAAGCTGTGGCTAGCAATCAATCTGGAGGTGTTTATTTGAAACTGTCTTGGGCAGTCAAAAAGCCGATTTACTCCGCAATCAGAGATACAAGTTGGACTGTGGACCCGACGCATCGCCAGGGTTGTCGGAGCAGGCCGTCTAGGGCAGACCCGTATCACTGCGTTTAAATGAGCATTGAGCACGGACCGATCTTACGAGAACTAGAACCATCAGATATCATGTGACCTGACGGAGAATGCCTGGAGCCACATGTATTAGTAATGTAGTTCGTTTCACCACATCGTTAGTCAAACTACCATACGTTTGGGTAAGCTCAAAACGCTGATGCGGTATATGTGAAAAAAGATTAGTACTATGAAATGAATTGGCTAAGACTGTGGTCGGTTCGTTACTGTGAACGACAAAAGTTTTTTGCCACTTCCAGGACATGCTGCAGGATTTTTCAGAATCATTCCTAAAATACCAGTTCGTTTCACAAAATAATTGAGCGTAATGGTCACTCTTGTGGATTAGATCCGTAGATAACAGCTTAAACCACCAAGCGCTGTTTGACCTTGATGCATTGGATCGATATAAGCCGACGACCATTTTGACAACTATACTCACGTTGGAAGTATGTGATTGCCCACTATGGCGCTGATTTCACAAACAACTCCCCATTTTTCACACTTGAACGCCATCGAATGTGCCAAGTATTGTTCTGTAGGTGATTACAAGATTCGGTTTATTTTCTGACCTGTATTTAACAAGCTAACATGATAGTGCGCATGGAGACTTTTTACTACAGCGACTGTGAAGAAAGTAAAATGTGGAGCCGAAATAATGCTTGTCTATCGCTTTTGCACCAGCTAACATCTGAACAACATGTATGGTATGTTCACCAACGTTAGGACTTGCAACTTTGGTATTTTCCAAATGCTCACAGTTTATTTTCCGTTTCGAGAATAGTGTGCGCGACAAACTGTGCGAGAATGGACAAATTTGCTAGCCGCGTATTTTGCGATCCTTTTTTCGTTTGTCAACAATGAAGGAACAAACAGCAGCCAATCGAAATTTTTGTCAAGTGACAAGAAATGTTTTGGATTGGGAGTAATATCTTACAAACAGCATATCGATATAATGCAGAATAGATTCAAATGTGAAATCAGTTGTCAAGTTCAGCTACCTGCTAATTTGGGAAGAAATTGTGCACAAAAATGGTACAGTTGACTCTAGCTAAAGTCACCTCTCACAGTTCTTCATATCCTATTCTGTGACCGAGGGCATAAGTTTACCTATCTCTTCTAGCATGTATATATTCCGTGTAACTCTAAACCATTAAGCGTCTTGAGTCCTAGCCTCCTGACACGTCAGACACTTAATTATTTGCTGTTTTGTTCATCGTTATTCATGAAGTATCTAAAAATCTATGACATAATTACCGAAAGAAGGCCAATCTTGCATCATATTTTGAGTTCAGATGCCTCAAAAATTGAGGGCTCGCGGGTCACTTCGGAAGAAAAAGCCACAACTCCTTTAACTGACAATCGATCACACGGATGTCTTTATAACATATGTGACGGAAACTAAACATTTTCTCGATTTCGATACGTGTGCTTTCAGTTGTTACTTGGAGATTTTATTCTGTTCATTTACTTTTCTATATTGCTTCTTTGCCTGCAGCTCTTGCCCAAGTTCCTGATGTTTATCCGGCTCCTTTATTCGAGAGCTAGCCCACTAATGGGTCTATTTGGTTGTGGTGGCTTGAAAAAGCCACTGTCAAAAATTTTCAGTTATTTTCATATTATTAGGGGAAACATCTGAATGGCCCAGCAAAGAAAATCGTGAGCTTATTTCAACACGACTCGGGTCTGATCTTCTGGCTGGCATCCCGAACAGCTGAATATTTAGCAGTTCATCAGCAAGGACCTGAAACATTTTTGCATTGTCACCAAACAGTGAAATAAACAAAGCCCTCCCGTATCAACTTTTGGAAGTTTATGCGCAATTCTCCATCAATTATTGGCGAGCTGAACCGACTTTAGATGAGTGGTCAAGACATTCCTTTCCTAACAAAATCCTTCAGACGTGTTTCACTACCTGACTGTCCGTTTGGTGACTTTGAATCAATCTGCGCGGGGACACAGTGATGACCACTGAGTTAAGCATCGGANGTTTAATTTGAAAAAAAATGAAACATTCGTGATGTTCGAAAAAAACTAAAAGGTCATTTGTGGTCGCAAACAAAACCGGGAAGTCTACGGTTATTTTTGATAAGTATAAATAGCCAAAACAGTCGACACTAAAAGTAGTTTATTGGACTGGCAGATGCTGACGTCAAGTGAAATTAATCTAGACTGACGAGGTTGTTCCTCAAACTGATGCATTTAAGATTTTGAAAAAAAAGATTTCTCAAGAAGTCATGTTGTAACAGAAATGTACTATCACCCTCTTGTTCTCTCAGTGTCTGACGCGTTTCAAGCAGGATCGATTACTCCTCAATCGAAAGGTGAAGTTTCGTTTGATTTGATTGAAAGGGATTTGTGATTCGCTTTGTCAGTTAAACAGACATGTTTGGGAAGCTTGGAAAAATGGTGTTTAGGGCGCAGCGAGGACAAATCGCCATATAAGTCGTGGATTATCCGATTCATTTTATGAAGAAGCTGGAAAATTTTTGAAGCCTGATCAGAGAGAAATTGTTGCTCATTCGACCAGTGAATCGACAGCTTCCATTCTGTGGGAAACTAACCATCAAGTACTCAAAATGCAAGCAAGTTCAACAGTTGAATGATTAAATTTGGATTTAGGGTGCAATCCAATCAAAACTTCCGATTTCTTCAAATTATTCCTTGGAACCGAGGTTCGACTTAGGACGAACAAATTTAACGTGTGACTATCTAATCACAGCACGCTTCACCTTGTTGTCTTGCAATGAACGGAAGTTGGCGAAAATACTGATTCGCTTAATTCAGTCATTTGTTTGCGCCGACCACTCTATACCACGACAGACATTTGAACTGAAGTGAAAGTTGCTTTCTACCTTACATAAAATTATAGAGGGCACTCATTTGAAAAATAAGAATAACCTATCCATTCGAACCTTCTTTATTCCTCGTCCGCGCCTGTTTAGTTTGCGAACAAATATCAACTGAGGTTTATATCCATATTCTAACCAAGGAAATATCAAATATCATCTGCGGTTAGAAGAAGGCGCCTAGCTAACTAGCAAGAAACGGAGTCAAGTAGATAGTTGACTGTCAGTGAATATTGACTTAATTACATCTTTACTAAAATCCCCACCGGTGGTTTTCGACGCTTAAAAGGCGCATAAAACGGAATAAGACAAATACGCTTATAATGAACTTTTCGATGCATTCATACTGCGTTTTTGCATTATTACCTGCTTGTGGTTAAAGGTAAATTTTATTATAGGAACAACATGCTCACTGTATTTTGGGTGAGTAAACCTGGAGGGGGGGACTTTTTAAAAAAAAGTGCGCATCAAGATGCAGGAATACTGGTGACCAACAAATCCATGTTTTTGAAAAGTTGTTAATTAATCCCGTCAAAGTCTATTGTGGAGCGATTTAGCTGCTAGCATGGTATGGCTTCGTGTGTTCCTAGGTTATCTAAAGTGGAACAATGAAAATCGTCATTCTGAATTCAGTTGATATTGTAGCATAGGCTATTCAAACATATGCTTAACTGAATTTACATGGGTGTACTTGAATTCTGAACCTTGGAATTGTTGCTCCGCTGCAGTTAAACTGTTAAAATGCAGTTAAGGTTGCGAAAAAAAGCAACGCAAATCGACGAAGTCCCCAAATTCATCCCGAGTTGAAAAGCAATCGCCTTAAGAGCAAGTGTGAAACCGAGATAAATGTAAAACCGATGTTAGACAAAAAGGTAGGCCACGAACCAACTACTTCAATCTCACCCCGAAGTTTACTACTTGGACATAATGCAAGTTCACTTTTCTGGGGATGAAATTCGGAACATCCAAACGATTCGGAGACCGATAATCATTCACTTTGTCTCATTCTGCACTATTTCAATTCGGTAAAAGACACTGATTGGTTTTTTGGAACCTGCTAATTACATTTCAATGTCTTCGGAATATAGCAAACAGAATTAAGATTGCTTGGTGTTCTTTTTTTGAGAAAATCACTCATGTCGAACGTTGTGTACAATAAAACATTTTCGAGCAGAAATACTGTCAAAGCAAATGCCAAATGGCAAAAATAAACACTGCGGTTTGCGGACCACCAGAAATGCGCCTTATTAATCAGTGCGTTTGTGGTAGTCTCATCAAAGAAGACTGGGTACTAGAATGAAGGTTTTTAGTGAAGTGTTGATTACCGGGGGTTTTCATTCAGGTCGCAGCGTAACATTTTGTCATGCTATGAAAACGTCTATTTCTGTCTCCGAGGAGAGATCTCATTGTGATCGAATTTACATTAGGCAAGGAAAGTGGTTCGTATTGAGCCCATAATTCAAGTGATAACTCCTTCTTGAAGTACTTGTTTACCGCAAAAGATTATCTATTTACTGAGGATTACTCATTAGTAGCTTTAGTGAGGCTACGAAGTGAAATTCGTCTGCAAATGATTTTGCGATTGGGTTTCATTTACTGGTTAAGCTGACATCAATCGATCTTAAGAGCTGAATTCCTAAAGAAAAAAGCTTAATTGTGAGTTACTTTGCTGTGCAAGCAAGACAACCTACAACGGAATTTGTCCGATGGTTTCGCGTTGGTGAGGGTTGAGAGTGCAATCTTCAAACTGTTTACGGTCAATCTGGCCGTTGCACAAACATCCAACGCGTAGATCAGGAAGCTCAGGAGTATTTCACTTGCCGCTCGAAGGACGTTCGGATCAAAAGACGGAGTGGTTTTTGAGCAGGATTTTGTCTGAACATCTGTTGTAGGACCAGATAGCTGTGAGTAGATGCGAGCCAGTATACGAGCTGTGCCTGCGTAGTCCAGTGATGCGTTGGGGTCGTTTAGCTGATGAAGACCAAATTCACGGAATGTTTCGACCACACGACTGAGTTCCATGAAGCGAACTAAAGTTAGCGTGAAAATAAAAATTATATCAGCCATGAGTATGATTTCAGAGAAGTTGTCTACTTTGTTTATCGGCAATTAACGGTAAATATTTCGGCCGCAAAGTTAATTGGTCGCTTCACGCATTCTGGCTTGAAGTTATGTAGGCTGTCTGTTTGGCTTCAAATACGCTATGAGAAACTCGATCAGCTCTGTTTCGACGTGTGCATTCCGACATGTGTTTCACGTCGGTACCAAATAGGACTCAACGGGGCCAAAGTGCCTAGTTGTAACAATCGACTATATGCTTCCAATGTAAACTTAGTATGATTGGCTTTGGAATACTTTAAATACGCGTGCTTCGTATCAGCACTTCGGCAGCTTTACTGGAAACACAGATAAACAATTACTACCTTACACAAGCGATTCCTAAAAAGCAAGAAAGATGGAGCGTCGTTGGACGGTTTTGAGGTTGAGTGACTGTTCTTATTCAAAAATTGTAGATGTTCTGCATAGTGTATGAATTAAAAACATTGCTTCATATCCTAAAATGGCGTGGCCCCGTTTAACCGTATATATGCTTCTTAGGAGAAAGTTTAATTATTAGGAGTCTCCCAGCCCAAAATTTCGAAAACATCAGATAATAACCAGAAAGCGAAACGTATAAATTAAAGGCGTCATTTTCAATGAAAATTCAATTGTTTAAATCACAAAAAAGTGCTTTCCAAACAGAGTGTTTCTAAATTTTTAAGTACCACACGATTGCGCAAATTATTACATCTGGGAAAAACAAGTCTTCAGCTATAAGCCAAACTAAAACCATGACTTCAGTATGAAAGCAATTCCAACTCACACATCCACTGGGTGTCAAAAAATTCAAGACATTTAGTCACAGTTGTACTAGGTACTTCAATACACGTTTCCTAAGCTTATTGGGAAAGATGCGATTGCCAGCTGTTGGACGTTTAAAGCGGGGGGGGGGGTTAATGTTGTAAACATCATTATCTGTTCAATGCATGTGGGCGTGCTTCCACATGCCAAATATTCGTTGTTTCGATCTCAACACCGCACAGGCTACTCACAAATGGTATGTGCCAACAACGGAAATGCTTTGTTTTTGAGCCCTTATTGACTTTATGCCTACTGAACAGGACAGAATCAAACTGATGGAACGGCAATTTTACTATTTTGGAAACCAATCCCGAGTTAAAGAACTGGTACCGGCAAATGCTTTCAGGTTCACTGTCAGCGTCTGATCCCTTTATGAGTGGAGATTATTCTGAGACGAGTGCCTGCTTTGAGACGTATCGTTTCGTTCATCTCGTGTTAAGTTTACTTTTGTGAAGGGATTATAAGGCCTGAAAAATGTGCATTTTATGTGCTCAGTACCTTACGTTAAATGTTCGAATAATAACATTAGGAACTATCGCACTTACTATCGTTTTGTTTGTTAATTAGGAAAGTTTTTACAAACCATTTATAAACCATTTAAAAAATAACGCATACTAACAAGAAGACTTATGGCTGCATACATAGTTAAACATCCATCAATAGCTAATTAGAGGCTTGTTAACAAAACTCAGTTTACTTTTCATATGGCATTTGCTGTTGGGATGAATCATCATGAATTTAGTCGACCAATTGTCAGAATGCATCAGGCACAGAAAAGCGTAACTAGATGGGTGTCTTACAGAGTGCAGTTAACGTGAGCTATGGACAATGGATAACCGAATATTGACCGTTGTAAATTATCGGTTTCATCCACTATATTTAATAATAGGATCACCGAGCGCAGCCCACGAACTTATTGTTGAGCTGCTGTGCTTTAACATACTGTTCAACACTATACGCGTGGCCCTGCTTTGGATGTCATGCTTGTTGAAGTTTCGGTGAACACCTATTATCTGTTTGTTTCAACTTTGTAATAATTTGGTGAAGCAGTGGACATTATACACCATGAACTATATAGCATGGATATCATCATTTGTTCAGTCAGTGCTCCTCTGTTATTTTTATGAAGGTTCGATGCCCCAGCTGTCGATTGTAAAACCCAGTTATTTCCTGAACTTCTCAGGTTTATGTTAACCAATTTATCTAATGGTCACCAGGTCACTTTGCAACCAATCTCCATGACACTTTAGCTGTAGCGCCCTTCCGGTGCCTAACTGCCATGCCACCAGAAAGAAGCACGGAGGCTGGGATACTGCCAGGTTGCCCAAGCCTAGACAAGGAAATTTGAGAGACAGCGGTTGGGTTCGAACCAGGAACCTTCTTGCCAGTAAATTTGCGCTCAAATAACTGAAACATTTTTCCACATGACAGTATCTTCATAATAATAAATAACCTTGACGGGACCTATCTAAAAACGTCTTTCTCTTGTTCATACGATTCAGTGCATCAAGAAACTCGAAATGTTTGCTACAACCGCATTTTCTTTTGACAAATCAGACGTCTTCAATTACAAGTTTTGTACATCCTGCGTTACTTTTACTCATATACTATTCAATTTTTGGGCAGTCATTCTTTGGCAACTTGGATTCGCAATCTCGTTTACAAGCACGAGACAGTCCTCAATACGGTTGATGGCTGTCATGGCGGCCTATTCTTATCCGTTTAATATACTCTTAATGGAATGATATATTTCCTTGCGTCTCTTATCATACAATGATTTTCAAGGAGTCATCTGTGGATAATTTATAGTGTCAAAAGGACCTTATCAGATTCATGTATTAGAACCGATCACAGATAAGTGGACTTGAAACCGGAAGGGCTGATACTCACCAGATAACTATGTATATAGGAGGATATGAAGGCAGTCAAATTTAAGTATACTAGGCTTACCAAAGTAATAGTCATAAGGTCTTTATAAATGTCTTGGATTACACTGAATATTGAGAATTTATGTCAACTAAATCCACTTAATTTCAGAATTGAGATTCCGTAAACATTACCGTTTATTTCTCTTCTTTCATAATATCAAGAGGCAACATCTCCACTCCTCTAGCTGTTCGTGTTACTCTCTTCATTTCCCAGAACTTTTGATATGCCTATCCATATTTTACCAGTTAACCATTTTTTTCGGACCTGGGCGATATTTCGCTGCAAAGAAGTACGTACTGAAGCAAGGCAGTTATTATAGTTGAGGACCCTCCTGGCCGTTCGGTGTATGCCGTGGCATCCACATCTTTTAGGCTTACAAGTTCAGTCAAGAAAACTTTCGCTAGAAAATTTAACATGCTAAAAACGTGCTAAAAACACTGATAAATATATATCTTTGTAATGTACTACTCATAAGGTTGCTGAAAATCCGTCTACAGCTCACGACCGGTTTCGCCCTTTTTGGGGCTCATCAGGTAGGTGCAGTCCCCGGGTTTCCGTCAAGCTTATGTTCTACTTGAAACCAAATTGCACGAAATTAGCGAATATACAATCATTTGCAAATGCCGATTCCGTGCAATTTGGTTTCAAGTAGAACATAAGCTTGACGGAAACCCGGGGACTGCACCTACCTGATGAGCCCCAAAAAGGGCGAAACCGGTCGTGAGCTGTAGACGGATTTTCAGCAACCTTATGAGTAGTACATTACAAAGATATATATTTATCAGTGTTTTTAGCACGTTTTTAGCATGTTAAATTTTCTAGCGAAAGTTTTCTTGACTGAACTTGTAAGCCTAAAAGATGTGGATGCCACGGCATACACCGAACGGCCAGGAGGGTCCTCAACTATAATAACTGCCTTGCTTCAGTACGTACTTCTTTGCAGCGAAATATCGCCCAGGTCCGAAAAAAATGGTTAACTGGTAAAGTTTCTACTAATTTCTCTTACATTCCACCGCACCATATTTATTGAATCTGTTTTATTAAAGCAGGGTACCAGCACATTGTACAGTTTAAATTTATTTTACAGTTTATTTTCAAATTTGCACGTTTTGGTAGATTTCTATGGTTCACACGTCTTTTTCCTGATCTACTTAAGAAGAATTCATTGACGCGGCTCTAGATCGATATTATGAGATAGTCTTGTACCTTTTATTGGAATAACTTGTCGCATAACATATAGTCAGTTCCCCTTTATCCTTAATTGTGTGATCGTATTCCCGGTGGGATTGTCCATCCCAACACCGCAGCTCTCGACGACATTTATTAATCATGCAAAACATCCTCTTATTTCAATGCAGTTCTATCCTGCCACCGTACATTTAGCTATCTTTTTTGAAATTATTGAACTGCATGAAAGGGAATTTCGATAGAGCAATTCTTGAAGTTTTGTTAACGTTTCACAACCTCACTTATAGCTATTAACCCATTTGCTCATTACTCGCATTTTTTCCTACGGAAAGGGCACTATGACTATATATCTATTTCATGCCAATAATTTATTCGTTCATTTAGCTGCTAGCATAGAAAGTTCAACTATTTTCCGAAGTTTGTCACAAAAAACTCGAAGTTGTAGGTAGATTCATTTATTCCGCGGATAATATGAAAATTACCACAAAGGGTGCACGCTAACGTCTCTAACAAACATGGTGAGTGACGTTATCAGGAGAAAATTCTTCAAGCAAACAGATATTTCACGAGTAGCCTTTTTACTAGACGGTGACTAAATTAAGCTTACCAGCTCATTTCGATGTCTACGGACACATCAAACGAGAAGGCATATGGTGAAATTCAACTCGGCACAGAATGCGTAAAAAACATATTTTAATAACGCACATAGGTATTTTGAGGAGCAAATAAAGCCAGCTCATTTGCAAAGGCGAATAATCAAAGCAAAGGGTTTGCCTGGTTCTAATATGACTATTTTAAGCTAGAACTATTCAACCTGAGAAGTTTTATTAACGGTGCATGAGATACCTTTTAGCGATTTGAAACTTTGACAAGACATCAAAGTAGATACCTGGGAACTGATGATCCCGTGAATAGTTTTGTAAATCTACTCGTACATCAGTGGCTTATATATGAGTATAGGTTACAGCTCGGTCTCGCAGTTTGAAACTAGAAGCTGAGTTCATCAGAATTGCACAGGCTCCGTTACTAAACCTAAGATTGTCTTTTCGTAACATGTCCCAAGCGGATGTATTCGCCAAAGGGAACATAGCCCGTGAAGAGTGCTTTGATCTCCAAAATAAAATTTGACCTCCAATGCAACTTGTACGCAGTTCCAGAGTAATCTTGAATCTGGCGTTTTTTTCAAGGAGGCTTTTCAGCTTGCAGTAAGTTAATGGACCGGCGGTCCATCTCACTGCTTTCCAACTGTATCGACTCTACATTAGCAAGTGGGTAGTTTTGTTCTGGTTGTCTCTGGGCTTATCGACAATTAAAAGCAATTCCAATATTTCAAAATGGATACTTTACAGCAACTCTGCTTTTACCGTCTACTTGATAGAGATACCCCTCTAGATTAGCGTGGCAACTACATTGAATACTCTGGTACGTTGTACTCTCCAACCTTTTCGGATATTTGGAGAATGAGTGTATTTTTTTCACTGACTGGGAGCTGGAAGTAGGAAATAATCATTTTAGTGACTTCAGCATCGTTGCATCTGTTGATGCTGAGGTGCTGATTCCATAAAATGATGCAGCAAAAGCAAATTATAAAATAGTTAATATAACTTAACGCCCACATAAAATATTCTGAATAAGTAATTAACAAATTAAATCCTTACCTTCATCTAGCTCGTCAGTTACACAGATGATTGCTATTAGGTGCATTTCAAAATCGTCTGAGGCTCCTGACCTAACTCTGAATGGATTCTTACTTTAAAGTAAGTGACGGTTAATCAGACGTGCGTAGGGCTAGGGTCATTTCTCTAAGAGTTGGATTGTGCTTGAAAATACAGATTACAAGTATTCAAGTGGAATACTCTTTATAGTGACGATAAGCAACCTTCGACAAGCAGTAAATATACGAAACTCTTCATTGATTTACTTTATGCTATCCTGTTGGTTTTATCACCCTCTCGTCAAAACTGGGGTTTTGATAATACAAGCGGTTCACAATAGATAAGCTAACCATAACACGGAATAACCGAACCCCAACAAGTATCAATCCCCTAGTTTCGGGAAAGAATTCGAAGTTTACACGGAAGCGCTCTGTACGTTTGCAACGCAAAGCAACTGCAACAACTGGTTGACGATGAGCCTACTTCGGCAAAATTACATGTGAGTTTTGTTCTTGTAGCATGGACTGTATGACTGGCGTGTATCTCTTACCGTGCTATAAGAGCGGTAGTGCATGCATTTTGGCACTTCTTTAAAATCTGAGCGTCAGCGGCTGTATACACAGCTTGTTTATTCAAAAGTTCCAGATAATGTATTATTTTCTCTTAAAAATAGTTATTAGGGTTGATAGTGTAATTGACATGCAGTGCTTCAAATGATAGAAGTACATCTTTTCTTAACACACCTTACACAGAAGATTAATCGGAAGTATTCATTCTCTTTGTGCTTATTTATTGCTATCAAAATCTTGGTGCGATTTTTCGCTGGTGCAAACATAGAAACTGTGATGCCGAACGTATCATGAATTGGGTCTGCTCCGAGAAGTGTCGAGGCTCACAAGACGGCAAAAAGCCTAGTCGTATGCTTTTCATTTGTGGTCACTTTTTGGCACGATCGTTTTAAAATCCAAACAAAAGACAATCCAGTATAGCTTCTTGGTTTGCTTATGGCCTGTCTGGATCTACTTAATACGTCTGAAAGAGAACATCACAAATGGTTAGGAATGACGGCACTGTTTTGACGGATTGAAAACAGTAGCAATACCCCTTGATAATGTTCAGCAGAATGCTATTCAGTCATTCGAACACAGAAGATCACTATCACCAGGGCGTGTATTCTGTAAGAGGACTCAAGGTAAGCTGAAGTAAGACACAAAAGGCTTCTCTTTCTAACTTCCCTTAAAATGTTCCAGTAGTCTTCCAAAAGAATTTTATGTCTAGCTAATGGGATTGCAAGAAACTACATTCCACTTTTGTGTTGTTGTCGAATACTTCTGTAAAAGCCTTGCCAGTAGGTGAGATGTGCAATTAGACTAGGCTAAAAAAGTCGCAAACCACGAATAGTGATTTATGTTACCCAAATATGGTAATGACAATACTACGCTCATTCTATAGGGCGAAATTACCAAGTTAAATAACCCTCATAATTTTATGGTCTCATGCACGACGTTTGTTTTGTTTCATATGCGGCGAGACAATTTCATTTTGGTGGACTAGGTTTAAGCAGTGTTTCCCTAGAGGGTAGTTTTAAGAATAGACAAATTGATTCATTCAGGTGTGCACAGGTGGGCTTTAGATACACACCTAAGATGCAATCCGAAGGAGCACACGAAGTTAAACACTCTGGCCAGGTGAAGAATATGTTAAAATTTAGTCTCATTTAATAAAACAGCAGGAAGCTGATACCATTACAGAACGTAATCACATAATGCAACTTACACAAAGTTCGTTGTTGTATATATCTCAGTTTGCTTGCAGTCCGATAGGCAGCGAAACGAATGGTATCAAACTGACGCAATTCTGTCGGAAAGCAGTAAAACATGTCGTTTAGTGAAAGGCGCATGCCATACAAGAGGAAATAAAACATTTTACCTGAAAAAAAAACGCTGGTTAATTTTAGTTAATGGAGACAAGATTACAAACGTTAAATCTAATCGGTTAGTGGAATTCGACTGGAATGAACACGGTAGCGGCATTGTCTTAAATTTTAGATGAATGACACTCGGATGAATAGGTGACCTTGGGAGAAGTTATGTAAATACCTAATGGCCAAACAAATAGTGCTAGAGAAGCTGCGAGGTTTTTGAGGAATTGCCATGGAATGATTGACTTGTTGCCTTGAGTGCTATCAGCAGTAACTGTGGAGCGGGGTGCTGATTAAGGAATCACTCTCCGACCATCCACGATATACTAGGTTTTATGATTCCTCGTTTGGGTGTAGAATAAAGGGACGATATCTCATTCAGTCGGTCGTGTACGGACTAATTCAGGTAAAAGCGAATTCGGCAGCCAATCTTTCAGGATAAATCTTTCTTTCAACTCACGTTTTGTTTTCAGTTACTTCCAAAGGTAACTATGGTTATTCAAGGCCGAACTATGATAGATGCCTAAATTTGTTAATCATACCCTTACTATCAATAAATTCAAAATTTGCAGCTGTGTAATATTTCCAAGTTTATTTGAATCCTGATAGTTTTATTGGCAATAAAGCTTTTAAAAGTGAGAGGGTTAAGCGTTTGCTAAATCAAGAAACTTTATGTTTATGCATGGTTCATATCTCACTAGAGGTTCATAGATTCCTGTTGGACCTATGAGGTTCAGTGACGCACGTTGACAAATTTGTGGCTTTGAAAAGACTCCAATGAAACGGACTCGGTCGTATTAAGTACCAAGTTCAAATTGTTGGAACGTTTAACCAAATCACAAAGCACCGTTCATTGATAATAGTGTTTCATTAGAAAAAATCTATGAGCCGCAAAATCTCAATTAAACAGACGAAACGATATAACTTTCGCAAACCTAAAGGATTCTTCAGCTGTCGGGAACCTAGCGTACAGTGCGCAATAGGGTTACTAATTAACTGGCACAAATGTGTGAAAATTTGGGATATTGGTGGCCACTTACAGTGCTATCCAAACAAGAGAGATTTTGGCATGCGCGACTTTTGCGGACGACTATTTTTCACCTTCGACTGCCATTTCCTAGCTTTAAAGTAAACTTGTTTGTAGATGGCAGTTTGTCTGACATTTCCCCGTACCTGGTTCAAATCAGGCGAAATGCCACCTCGAAGTTTTGGAGGTCTGCATTTTTGTACACTTGCCCGTAGAACTGAACTGGTAAAAGTAAGAACTGAAAATCAACTAGTGCCAAAGCATCAAGAACTGTACTGGAAGGCGGTTCGCGGTAATGCAGTGGACAAATGTCGCCGTAACTCTCTGTTCGAATATCACATTTTGTACGCTTGTGGTAACAGGTGGCAGAGTTAGACTTTCAACTTGCGTTTCCAGGGGCCAATCAGGATGATATTTTGAAAATTTTGAATTTGACTTCAGATTAGCTTTGCCTTTTAAACAAAGACATTCATTTTACTTAATAAGGAAGCGAACTGAAACAAGAAAAACCTGGGGTTCCATAACCCCTTCCCGCGAATGTCTGCTCTGGCTAGAAAACTGTGTTCACGCACTTTTAGAAAACTATTTTGGAGAATAGAATTCGACTAGACAAGAACCTATCGTTGTATAAGATTTAAGTGTAGGTATTGAACCTAAAGTGTCTATATCAGTTACTAGAGCTAGTAACCTGGGATTAATAGTCACTATGTATTGACCTGATATGTATAACTAATACACGCTTCATCGAGGTACAAAATCCTTAGATTTTCCGGTCCTTTTACGTCTACTTCATGTAAATTGAGCGTAAGGAAATAAAGTCGCAACTGCATCCTCATATTTACAATGAGAATGTCAGTCACATTGCCGTTGCCTGTTTGTTGCGTCATCTATTGTTCCTTTACCTAGTATATTTTAAAGCTAAAATATCATCGAACACATGCGATATAAAGGAGAATAAAGCACTTTTGCCTTCTCAGCGGTTGCGTGCGTTAGGCATAATTAGGAGGTTGGCAGGAGGATAGCACAGACAATTGGAAGCTAAGTGAATGGGAACCGTATCTCATTACTCCCGATTCGTCCTTGATGTGCTTTAGCCGAACAAATCATAACGTGGTGTAAAAGTAACATTTACTCAAATAACAACCGGTGGCTGCAAGTTGATTTTTTAGCATTCATAAAGTAAAATACACCTCAGCCTACAGTTCGAAGAAATGTCCGTCAGCTGAGCCGTGAAAACGGTGTTCGGCATGCCAAAGAGGAGAGCTGTTGACTTTAAAGAGATTTGATGGATTCTCGACGTTCAGGTGAAGTTCACTCTCCATTAAGTTCACCGTACATCGAATTAAAATATAATGACAAGTACCGAAACTAGTTTCAACAGTGGACGAATTCAAACTTGTAATCACATCATGACTGTGGACATATCGCCCCACTTGCTATAGAAATACGACGCATGGCGGCAACCAGCTGACACCGCACCGAGTTCACGAACACTAAAAAAATAGCCTACTCGTTTCACTGGAATCTATGCCAAACAGTGCTGTATTCTTTGGTATATTAGGACGACATGCACTTGCAAGGGATGAGTACAACGGACAACAACTTATCCGGAATAATTAATCAAATAATGTTACCAGAAGAAGCCGTCATTCAAAATAAGTATGAGTCGGTAGGTTTCATCTTTTTTTCTACAGCTGATCATCAAATATCAGGTACTGTGAATTTCGCCAAATTTACTGTGAATAAGTGGATTGAAAAACGTTGTGTTACCCTCAGCGGACAGTGTTCTCCTGACTTACTATAATTCTGAACAGACATCCTAGATTCAGCTGCAGTCTGCGCTCTTCGAAACCTGTTGTCACTTACCAAAATTCATAGCTTTTTGTCAAAATTCCAAAAGCTGTTCTCATTAGTTATGACTCAGGCTCGCAAGTTTTCCTCATATAGAGGCTGGTTACAAATTATTTCTGGAAAATGAATAACGACTCCTCTATTCGGATGGCACATAATAGAAATCTGATATCCATATGTGTTGATTTACGAGCGTGTCTGGAATTTGCACATTCACACACATCTGTCCGGTCACGCAAGTGGTTGAATGCTAGCCAGGGCAGGATGCTTACAAGGATGTGGAGAACCTAGTCTCTCCAGGTACCATTTATCAAACTGGTCTGAGCTGGATTTCATTTTGTCCCTATGCTTATATTCAGGATCATAATTTTTTATCGCTCAGTTTGGTCAAACCAGGAGGTGGACAAATAAATTGTTCTGCCGCGGGCAACGAATTCACAGACAATTTTTAAAAAAATATATTAAACGACTGAAACGTCATGGTGAAGATTATATGTATTTGTTGAAGAACAGCTGCAATGATTGCAGACAGCGCAATTATTCCCTTCCGAATTAACTGCCTGAGGGTTCTAAACACAAAGGATATCTTTTAAGAGCGCGAAAAAGTCGGTGAGAATGTCATTTTTTTAGAAAAAAAGGCACAATACCATCATCAGCTGTAGGCTACCGGTCTCGAACGTTAAACAAAGTATTCATAGTCACCACGTTTCATACTACTTCCTGTGAAACGTTCTTGTCAGCCCGGCTTCAATAATTCTACTGACAAGTAATCACGTAAGTTGCTCCAATAGCTGCCGGCTTTATTAAAGCTTTATCAAGTCATTTCTTTGTGAATTACTCATAAAACGGAGAGTGTCTGCCTTAACTGTTCTTTTTCAAAATATTTGCGGCCTCCGTTCATGTTGCCTCAAAATTCCGTTCCTAGGTACCAGCATCCTTATTGCACGTGTATTGACTGCATCGGGGATGATCACAAGAATCTTGACGTGTGAAGAGACTTTAATCATATCGGTAACACAGCTCTGATACGGTCCAGAATGTAATTGTTAGAAGCAGGATTTCCGTTTCAAGTGGTGGTGGGATTTGGCGAACGGCTCACCTGCACTTCTCTGTTGGGCAGTGTATTTAGACGAAAACACTAGTTCATTGCTAGTCAACCACATCCATTTTCCTTAGCACAAGTGGCGACAAACAAAAATAAATTTAACTGTTTTGATGCCAACTGTCAGAAATTTTTGGACCTCAGCAAACATTTGATAGAATAGACCACAAATGAGAATGATGTTAGATAGATCTGTCGTTGTTCCTTTTCACTTATACCGTCCCTCCAAAATGCTATGAGGAAGCACATCGCATTCAGGATCACATATAGCAACACAGATGTGCTTTCACCTGTGAGAAAGGTTACACGGCGTCCAACAAGGTATACGAACACACAGTCATAGGATGGTATAAACGTTTATGCCACACGCTGTGTCCATGAAACGCAACAGAACAAAGTTTTCGGGTGTTGTAGATGACCGCTTGTTATACTCTAGGACTGGACAATTACGGAGAAGCATTTGTAGTGAGAAACAGCACAGGGCAGAACCGTATAAAGATTATGTATAACGTCAACATTTTCTTTAGCTTTCGGAGCTCAACACTCGTCAAGCTATTTATCACGCAAATCCAGATTTCCAAGCTGAAGTACATTCAGTCTGGCTGAAAATACCGACCGTGCAGACCGTCGTGGTTGTAACCTAAAGGTACCCTTATGTATCAAGTCAACTCCACCTCAAAAAGAACCACTGGTTTCACCAGATACTGCGGTCGCAAAGATGTAGGATTCATTGTGACAGAAGCGGCGCTTGCTTACGTTTGAGAAAAATCTAGTCAGATATCTATCATTTGATTTTGCAATCGTGTTCCCGAACAGCGGCCAGAAGGAAAATCTGGTTGCTACCGCTGTTACCGTGACGAAGACATTACCAACATGATCCTTCATAAGGAAGTGGTACTATACTCATTGTCCTATGAAATAAAAAAATTTAATGCAGTCATTCCATGGAAGATCAAATAATCTTTTTGGTCTGCCGATCTATGGGTCAAACGGTTTGACGATACACTCAGGTAACTCTCACATATGAAAAATGGATTTGGGAACGAAATTTGCGCTCTCCATGGCGATGTTTCGCCCATCTGTAAAACATGGCGATTTGTACTCGAATTCTTATCAAGACATCTGCAACAACTGATTTACCACTGATAGAAGATGGTTCACATGTACTTAAAATACCACATTATCAACCCATAAAATCCATTTGACAAATTTGTGAATCACCAGCTGCTGCCATCTCATGGCAGTCAACTCCTCGCTGGTATTTTGTTACGGTGGGACGTTAACGTTTCATACAAGATAACCTTTAAAGGTGATATTCAACAGTTGAACTTTACAATTCTCGGACTACTGTCAAATCAAAAATAGTTCGCTCAAACAAGAATGCTCTCTTGCAAGCATAAGACCCCCTATCTCAGCAGTGATTATTCAAAGAACCAAGCGACGCTGGAAGATCCAATACGAACCATGTGTTGAAGGTCGAACGTCGGCATATTGTGCGCAGGTACCAGTTAGGCATACTTATTTTTGCACCGCCCATTAAGTAGTACCTTCCATCTGCTGGGGATTTTAGGTTTGAATCTCCTGAGAGATCCGGACAATATGGTTGCAGATCACAGTTTTGATGAATTCAGTGGTGCCAATCTTTGTTTCATCGACAGAAATTCAGAATTTAGACTCAGCTGCTTCTCGTTCTATTAAGATTTATCTCTGATGTTCAAGCTACGAGTCAGTTCTCCAACAAACTTTTCCTTCCGCCGAGTTTTTTTCTACACAAGACCAAAAAACCACTGTGCAGGTAACGTATTTACTCCAAGGGAAGAAACTGTGAGGTTGTCCAGTATTCCGAAAACCGGCGAGAAATCACAAAGTGAATTTATTGTCTAATGATCCGATGGTCTCCTACCATAACCTAAAATGTGATACAGGTTGTTCGCACGACTGATAATCCTGCAGTGACGTCGCATTATCGATATTCATAACTGACTTCCTGTGAGTTCATATTTTATAAATTTGGAAATGATTCCTGTGTTCTTGGAAAGCAGCAAAGCAATAGCCTCATTAGTGTCATCATGATAAGACAAACAAAACAGAACCCAGTTTTCTGACTGTCGCTCCAAAAGGCAAATTGAGAGGGCCTAAGCCTATTGTCATTTTAACAAGTAAATGGCTGGATATGCCAAGTGTTTTAAAATTACCTCGATTTATTTTCCATCTTTCCGATCTGAATCCATAGACACACTTCAGGAAGGTGGACAAGATTTGAATACATCAATATATAGGTCTGTGCCAATGCAAATACTTCATAGTGATCGGTAAATCAATTCTCTGAGCAGCCATAAAAATCGAACGCATCCAACCCTCGTTAATTCTGACCACCATTGGCAGAACAAATCCGGTGTGATTAATTTTCTTCAAGAACCAGATGTTACAAAACTTGGATACATAAAAACCTGACAACTTATGTCGATGTGTACAAAGACAATGTCATGGTTATCAAGCATCTTTTGGTCATGCCCTGTTCACCAAACTGCTTATGGAAGGCTCACCCGTGGAATAGATCTGTAGCAGTTAATATAGAAGGATAGACGCCACCCAAGTGATCCTACATCCCCATGCCATTGTGCAGTAAACTGAAAATCACTTGCCATCGTGGTTCGTTGTTCACAGAGACGGATGAGCGCCATAGCTATCAAGCCGGAACAAATTTTATCCAGCTGCTACCACCAAAGTAAGTGGACTTATTCTCGAGGTCGAAATAAAATCTGATGACAGGTACTACCGGAAGAAATTGTTTTGCCATATTTCATAGTGGATCCAATGAAAGTGTGTGGCTGCTACTACTGATTTTTACTTATGCTCTCTGTTTCTTCAGCTGTGTTGCACTTTCTTTGTGCTACACATATATGGTAATCCCATCCATTCTTATGTGCAGATGACATTTCTGTTTTAAATGCTGAGCTATTTACTGATCTTCATGCTATTTAAACGTAATCGGTGTACACACACGACCACTGTCAAACCGATTTGTGTCCATATTTTTGGCATATTTCTCCAAGGGTAAATTTGACCAGAATCCATCGGATATTGGTCAGGTAGCAGTCGTTCCGTTTGCTGAACTTAGTATTTTGCACGCAAATGTTTCGTCACCATGTGAGGGGGCTTCCTCAGTGCGCTACTGTCAACCGTCCACTGACGATATCTCCTCATATGGTGATGCAACACTTGGAAGCCAACTGTCAAGCTCCGTGAACCAGTCAGTTTTCAGCTGATCAACAGCCAAGTGATTTAGCGGAATACCATATTCAAACATATTGGCGAATTCACTGGAACAGCATTCCCACGTGTATTTAGAATTGGCTAACATTTATAAAAAGAACGCGTGCTATTTGACAAAACAGCAGTGTTCAAAATGATCAGGCAACAAGCGAATTATCATACTGGCCGATGAGTAGAGAAATCCAACTCACTCATTAATGCAAATACTATGCATAAACCATCGAAACTCGCTGGAACCAAAGCTTGTTTCACGTTAGCTGATTTCGCCCACCGACTGACCATGAATGAGCATGGTACCATAAAAGGCTTCATGATTCACCAAGCTCCGGAAATTTTTAGATTTTCAAAAGTTCAATTACAAAGTTGCAATGTTATGATAATAAAGCAGTCAATTTTACGGCTACAGCTAATGACGTGGTCAGGATTCAGTTGACATTTAACTCTAGAAACCATAAGCTATGAAAGTCTGGCCGTTTTACCAGACAGTTTTAAGGATGAAATATCATAGGAATATCACTCCACTGCCAGCATATTTCACGCTAGTACTGTCCCACATTTATTCCAACAGACAATCTATGTGTCCTGCAAAGGGTTAGAATCACAAACCTAATGAACAAAAGAACAAGTGATTCTAGCATCTCTTCGAGCTTCACCTCACTTTGTTCGATAAAATTCAGAACACACTCGTATTTTAAAATGAGCAAAATACGAAGGCGGTTAAATGTGGACAGTGATACCGAAAGTGCGTAAAATTAACCTCTCTCCTTTTGTGGCATCCTGACAACTGGGACAACCGATCATGCAAATTAGTTGACTCTAAAAACCGTTCAGCTATAGCACCCTGTCGGTGCCTAACTGCCATGCCACCCGAAGGAAGCACGGGGGCTGGGATACTGTCAGGTTGCCCAAACCTAGACAGGGAAGTCGAGAGGCAGAGGTCGGGTTCGAACCACGGACCTTCCGGCCAGTAAATTCACGCTCTAACCACTTCAGCCATCTCACCTCCATTAGTTGACTCTAACGCAGTGAAAGTCAATACCTGATTACCGTAAGCTTAGAAAATATTTAAACTTCCACCAAAACCACCGTCAGTTTGTCAACAATACCTGTAAAATATCGGTTGATTTACTGCCACATAATAGGTGTCTAATAATCCCAAATGAGCAGCTTAAATGTGATACGGTTTTTGGATAACGTTGGGTCTACCAAGCGGTTTTGGTGCTCAAACGCACCCAAGAGCAACAGTGATACAAATAATGTGCTCAAATATGTCCTTTTTGGCCAGGGATTCATGAGAGACATTGGACGGGACTTGTCTGGTCATTCAAGTTGCTGATAGATAGCATCAAATAGCTTTTACTGAGCTAAATGGACAGGAGAGGTCTACCTTAAGATAAAAAACGCACTGTCGATCACGGTTTACGTTCGATATAAGGTGTGTGTGACAAAGGAGATGGTAGGCCTTTGGCTTAAAAACGGCCCTGTGTCGAGCATTTTGCTTACCCTAGTCAGCAAACAAGGGTCCTGTTACAGCGTTCACTGGAGAGACTCTGCAACTTGACTGTCGATAAACTGCGGCGCATTTGTTCAGTAGCGTTTGCCTTTTTATGTTTTATAAACGTATAAACGAATCCCACCAGCCTGGCATCCAACTGCAGCTAGTTCACCCTGTTGTCTTCACAGCCTAACACATACGCAATGTCAATTTTCTCTATTCATACATAGGCCCATTAAAAAATTATCTGTCCTTCAACCAAAGCCTATCGTTTGGTCCCGTTTGACAAGTCCCTCTTTTAGTAGCCAAACTTATTGTGATGAAAGAACGAAGACGTACAGTAAAGTTTAAGGAAGCATAAATTAACCCATCCTACCTATGCTAGCATTATTTTTGTAAAATTAGGACCCTTCTGATGACATTTTTGTGCTTTTATGTAACTAAACGCCTTTGGCTTATCGTACATACTCGGCTACTTCACGTGGGTGACCGGAGCTCGTAATCAACGCAGGGTCCCTAGGTCTTCCATGAATATGTTCTAATGCCCATGCCTTTATCAGCTGTCACCGAGATGCAGAAATCAAACGTTGCCAAAATAATCAGAGACAATATGTGATTACTGATAACATGAAGCTGACTGTTGCATGAATGTATGCCTTTTCTTTCCATAATGACAAACTATTTTTCTAAAATATCAACTCACTCAGCAGACATTCCGACTATCCTGGCTCAAGATATGTGATTTACCAGATAAACGCAGGCTAAACCTATCACAGCCGTTCGCCAAAGCCACGGCAAAAATGACGCTGTTTCAGCTTAAATTCAGCAGAAAGATCACTCTCACATGTTTCATTGCTATGACTCAGCTACAGGTCGTTTGGCTTTTAGGCAGAAATTGGTTGAGGGGTAGATATCGGGGAACGACACTGTAGCAAGCTGTACAGAGAGGAGCTTCTTTCTGCAAGCTGAAGTGCGCACGTAATCATAATGAAGGATAGTACAAAACGTTTTACCGCAATTTGACTTGCACTGTTGATCGTACTAGTTTGCCTAGGTTATCTATACAAGCATGCTTTCTGTATTCGGAATAAATACAAAAGCTGATATCACAGACTACTCATTCCTTGATATCGCACCGAATTCCATTCATCAGAACATAGCGATTGAAAGTAACCTACTCATTTCTGCAAGCAGTCGTTTGAAGCCCATGGATGCTTGTACAGGGTAGACAGTTCCCAGTACTGGTTGTGCTGGTCGAACTGGCGGAAGATTGATTGCTGTTCCGGGAGGTGACATAGAGAAGGATGGCATCTGAGACAAGGTTTGTTGTTGGGCTGGGTACTGGTAATAACTGTTAGTTTGGCCATGAAGCGAAGATGGTGGGTGACTGTTGAATTGTGTCATGTTTCCTGTGGTATAAATGGGAGGGAAATTCTGCACCCCGTCGGGTTGATTCATGACTGGACGCGGATCAGGAAATGCAGCAGATGGTTTGGTTACACAAGAAGATGTAGAAGCGAACACAGATTAAAAACGCGCTCCAGTTTTCTTTCATAGCACGCACACAGGCTGATCTCTCTTACACTCCACTGGGATTTTATTTTCAAGCTGGTCTGATTAGTCATGTGTGGCTAAAATTGACGAAAAGATCAGAAACACATTTAGGTTAAATCACTAACACGGGGGCTATTCGACGAGCAGACTGGAAAGATCTAATCAAACTTCCCAATTTACATTCGAGAGATCGTTTTCGGGAAACAGACCTTTTTTTGGGAATAATGAGCATGAAACGGATTACGCGGTTTGGGTAAACTACTTTAATCTGAGGTCCCGTTGAGGATCCCGAAAAGGAACCTACCAATCACAACAAAGGCATCTACTAATAAATGAGAAGTTAGATTGCGCTGTCAGATCTGAATTGCATCTTCTGCCAAGCTGATGCAGATTTCTAATTCCTCACTAGGATGAAAACACGGACTCCACACCACTTAGCTTTACATGTTGAGACAAAGACGTGGACTAGGCGTACTCGTCCATACAGCGTTCCGATTGCAAAGTCAAGTAATTCTTATCTAAAATTTAGAGAAGAGCCCTACATATATTTCACCTTAACTACAGGTCAAAACAACCTATTTGTTTAAGCTTCAATCTTTAATTTGGCGTCTGAGTATAAGGAGACTATTTTATTATGGAACCAGATGACAACCTGACTCTTGTCATGCATAATGTACACGGTCAGTAGAAAGCTTGAAAAACAAAGACTCCTTTATCACTCATTGTGATAAACTGAGGCCACCCCAGCACTTTTTGTTAGAGTCAATTGTCCGTTGAAACAATTTAAAAGTCATTCTAACATCCCACTGACGTGTATGGAAAGAAGACGGAAACGATTCCCTTTGTGAGCGCTAGGGCTATGGTGTCAGGAGAAAAGACCAACCATACTGTGCGCTTTATTTTAATACGAGCTGCTCGCATCAATACTTTTTGTCTGCTCCAGGTAACAGAACAGATCGATTTATTTGTGGAGAACCCAAGGTACTGACAAACAATCGTTTTATGGCGCGTCCAAAAAGTGAGTCATCTTGTCTCAGCGGTCAGTTCTGATGCCGGTTTTTGTTGTGTTGTAATCTAATGCGAAAGACAATTTTGGCAAGTTTGAAATTTCGAAGGCAACGAAAGAAAAAAAGATTTAAGTTTTAAAGATAGTCAGTATTTTGGTACCATTTTAGCATGAAGACAACAATTGGAAGATGACTTCTGTTGTTGCGTGATTCGGTTAATAGGCTATGGTTAGGGAAGGATGAACAACAGAACCAAAATCCACTTGTACTTGTTCTTATCAGGAGTATTTGCGTCCTATTCAGTCTTTTAGGCTGTCACTTCCTTGATACATTACGTTTTTGAGGATTTGGTAAATGCGGACTCCTTTTCCACATTTCGACGCATCTCAGAATTTGACTGACCGATGCTTTACAGATACCAGCAATTAGATCAGGCACACGAACAGGATGACTCACTGCGGCCATTGTCTGGGACGTTTGCCGCTGCAACCCCAGGATCCCTGCTGCTGGGATACAGCCGTGTATGCGGTGTCACGGAGACAGACAACAATTAATTCGGCATTCCAACGACAAATCACTGGTAACGTAGTCGACGAACTATTGTTCCAGCTCTCGTTTTCACTTACCCGAATAGAAGTTTGCGTAAGCTGCATACGAAATTGGATCGAAATTTCTCCACCCACCAGACTGGGCAAAAATGGTAGGACGCAGACGGCTATTTACTGTCAGTCATCGCAAACGGGACACAGTCGTCCTTTCTATTGAGGCCGATCCCAGGAGGGATCAGTCCTCATAAATGATTCATTTTGTTAATTTTTGGATGCAAGTCACGAAAGACAGACAAGTTTTAACAGGAATCATGTTGTAATGCACCCTTTAAAAAACCAAACGAGCCCCAGACGAGCATTTTTAAGCTGTTTAAGGTTACCCGTTGCAAGTTTTGAAGACCATCTTTGAGGCATGAGAAAAAAACTTCTGTTATGGGTGCTTCTCTAGGTTATTTTGTTAAACAGTATGATGTTGGGAAGACCAAATATTGACTACAATGAGTATCCACCTTCCGATTCTGTCTGAGATATGCGGGACCATTTGACACAAATACGTTTGAAGGTTGTCTAAGCCTACCACTTGACCAAACAGGTGATCAGAAACGAATTCGAAGAACAAAGCCATATGTTACTTAAGTTGGATAGCAGAACTGTATCACCAAACATTATTTCAACCTAACCCTGCTACTGGCGAGACAGCTTGCGCATCCAATTCCCTGCTGTGTATCCAGATAATTAATTAGCGCAGGTCCAAGTAAATTTTACGGTATTAGGAAATTCCAAAGATGCGTAAACTTTCATCGTCGGTCAGTTTCGAGTTCATCGTGGTAGGAACGAGACAAAATAACCTTGATAAACCAACAACGCACTCACGTTTTTGGAGTTTTTTGGGAAGAACTTCAGCCAAAGGCCTACACACGAATGCCAGCAAACTCGGCATGGCGTAAAGCTTGCCTCTATCTTAATAGGCCCGATGGCGATGGAGTCACCGATATAACTACCATCAAGGCACTGCTGACATAAGACACAGAGCTAGGAAAACTGCACCCACCCCCATCAAAAGGCCATCGGAAACTTGATTTTCTTACTGTAGGGTAAAATGAACACCCGAAACAATTCAAAAAGAGTGGTACAATACATGTACTTCCGGGAAGAAATTGTTTATTGGTTTCTCCTGATTCTTACTAAATGACGAGTGTCCACAAATATCAATGGTTTCGTTGACTCCCCGGGTAGTATCTGAGGAAACGTATTTCGATATTTTAGATACGACGGTATTTTTAGGCATCCTCTTAATTTCCGACACACATGTAGTATCCATAATTCACTGCTAGAACACCGCTTGGCTTTATATCAAGGCAAGGTCAAAAGATACCAAGAAAAACTAGAAGAACAGACATGTCTTGTAGGCCTCAAGTGGACTTAAGTTCGTGGTGATCATCCGGTCCGATTGAATTTTCCCAGGCATATCATTTACAGAAAGTTAAAAAAAAGTGCGACCCTTAAAATTTTCCTAAGCCCGGAGAAGTTACTTAGGGTTTAGCAGTCGATGTTAAGGGTACGCCTTAAAATTATTGCTGCAAGCGCACAGGGTGGAGTTCTGCCGAGTCTGTATATGAGGACATGAGGACAGGTATCCTGTTAGGCAGGTCTTTTAACGGCCCGCGTTCCTCAATAGCGGACTATCAAAATTAATCTTTGAGTTTTACCTTGGCACTATACAAGAGGGCTGCTAAATCGGCAAATTTGCGTGTGTTTGATGTGGTAAAGACTGTATAGTGGCAGAGACGTAGTGTTTACTAGTGAAGCGTTGGTGGACTGCGTTATCATTTGTCATCCATTCATTGTTTGTCTTGCTCAGTAGGCCTAACAATTTAGTGCCTTTGAAGAAGAAAGAGCGTCCCCGACTTGCGTGTTTGATAGATGACGGTGACTGGTGTCCTAATAATCCATTGCTCTACGCCCACAAGATGCTGCTGAACGTTAGATACTTCGGAGCAGACAGATCTCTTCGTTAGCCTGACATTTCTACCTGGCATTTAGTTCAGCTCCTTTATAAAAACTCCTGGGTTCAATGAGACAAATTTCTTTATTCTTCCTTTTTTATCGCAGCAACCTACATCACTGCTTAGTGAAGACATACAAGCGCATCTACTATTAAGAAGTTAGCAGAAAAGGACACTGAAATAGTAGAATAAAGTAGAATAATACTTAAGTGATATGTCTTATTCGTTAGTCAATAAATTTCAGACTGAGAACTGATGATCCAGCTACATGTATGAAATGCAGGGATTTGTGAAACATGGCCTGGCATAGTTGCCTATTGATTAGTTTCGACTTTGGAAGTCTTTGAAAGATCTAGACATCCTTGTTTGAGTTACATTGAGACTCTGATTGTTTCGTCACTAATGGTGATGAAATCGTCACTAGATGATATTGCAGCAGTGCGTCCTAACTTAACAGAGCGTCCATTTGTAAAGTAGTTGAGCAATCCTGCGCTTGTCACACTAATACTTCCACTAGGATCAGCCGCTTGAGTAGTTATTTTTGCAGCTGCCCCACATCGAAGTAGAAGCATGCGTGTAAATAAAAAATGTACACATAGCAAGAAGCCTATTGGGATTGAGTTTCAAAGCTCAGATTTCGTGCATTGTATATACTTTGTGAGGGCAAAACAGGGCAAAATTGGTGGAGAGCAGTCTCTGAAGCGAATATGCTGCAACAAAGTGACCTATAGTGCTCGTTCTGTTTCCACTTCGCCAGTTCACAAAACCAAAAATGCGGCAGGAATTTTGGGAAACACAAACTTACATTTTCAGGTGCTTAGTTAAATAATAGTCTGAAAGTGGTTAATCCGTGTCAAGTTTCTCGGGTTATTGCGACGCTAACAAAGACAGTCCGAAATTGCATCACAACTCACTCTTAGTCGATTTCATAATCAATGTATCTGACAGCTTCTGGTCTGAGGTCACGGTCTTGTTATCCTTTTCCAGCTGAGTAATAAACGAAATCCCGTGCGTGAGGACGGTCAATAAGTAAGTCTTTCTTCGAGATTGGCCTTAAATTCAGGGGTGGTCATATTGTCCAGGCTAATGAGGTTTGTCCCTACCAATGGTGTTGGTTAGTTGATAACCGCCGGGTTCTGCTGTCTTTTCACTTGGTGTAAGTTAATAGATTGCCGTTAGCAGTTTCAGTTCACCTTTTCAGTATGAATGTGTGAACCGAAGCAGGTTTAAAAACAAACTTCGAGGAGTATTTAATGTTCTTTTTTGATTTGCATTAATGATAGACTACTTCCACTGCGAACACGAGCGACTCCGTAACCAAATTTTGAAGAAGCAGATAGGTT